CGCTCTTTGGCCCGGGACGGGAAAGTTCCCGCGAGTCCCCCGACGGGTGCGGGGGTATTAGACCTCAAACGGCCATGGAATTTCCTCGGTGAAACTAGCGGGGTCGGAGTAATAGCTGTAAACTTTTTAAAGGATTTGCATAAAACTGTTTGGGAAGAAATTTCCGATACTAAAACAACTTCAGGGCGAGCGGGTAACCTGCCCCTTTTTTCCCCTTTTATTTTCCTTTTTTTTTTTTTCTTTTCTTCAATTTTTGTTCTTTTTTTTTTTTACCTAAAGATCTGGTGATGTGGGCAACCCGATTTTTTTATTATTTTTGGTATCATCACCGAAGCTCCAAGTGTTTTACAGGCATAAGCCCCTTTCGTTAAACGTAGGGTGCTTCTGCTGGAAACGCTTCACAAAGCCCCACAGCTATTAACATTGTCATAAAACGATCGTTTACACAAACGTTTCTGGTACAGCTGCCTTCCTAGCAACTTAAGAGGGAAAAGAAAGATGCTTATCTCTTGCCGTAACTTTTGACTTTCTACAAGAAGCTGTAGCGCTGTGATCCATAAATGAGCACAAATACAATGACTTTTCTTCCTTTTTCTTCTTTTCTGGTGGTGGATTCCCTGTGGTCAGGTTTCCAGGCAGACTCAAGGGCAGGATTCCTACCATGATAAAGGCAGAGAGCACCCCGAGGAAGGTGAGTAGCGCGGTCCTGTCTTGTGGCATTATCCATCTTTGTCCCCCTGTGAGCTTGTGCACGGTCCTCAAACTGGAGCTTCATTTCTTTTGGAAAATGTAAATTTAGTACCTTCTGGGGAAGGAGAATGCCAGGGTGCTTCCAAAACGCATTTGAAAAGGAGGTGAATGTGCAGCATGTGTATCTTGAGTGACCAAATGGTATTTCAGTTGTTTAGAAACTGATAAGTAGGCCAAATGGATCTTTGCTGAAGGAATAACTATTTTTAGGATATCCGCTTAAACACATCTCCTCACTCATACAGTGCAGCTGAGTTTTGTGTGTTCAGAAACTGTGCTGTTTCCCCCATAGCCAAAGTCTGTCACTTAAATTTCCTCTTCCAAATCTAAGCACAAACAGATCTCTTGCTTTTTTTAATGTACCAGCTGGTTAATTTTGATTGAGAAGGAAAGAGGAAATAACAGAGTTCACTGAATATCGCTTAAGAAGCTGGACACACGTACAAAGAATGTGAATTGTGTGACAAGAGATTGTGTTAAAAATGAAATGTTTAGGATCACAAACTAAACCAAATCATAAATTCCATATGAAGACAGAAGCAGTTCAGTCCTGGTGCTTTTGGGGACTCTGTGGTGATCTTTCTCCAAATTGGTCATTAAACAACGTAAAAGCAATAATGTCCATGCTCTAGCATTCTGACAGGAAGCGGTAGGTCAGCTCTGTATAGTTTCTTTTTCAGCCTTGCATCCTCGTAAAACCTCACCTTCAAGCAGTATAATTGTCAATGGTCGTATAGGTGGGAGACCTGTTCACCTCCCTCCCATCTGCAGGACTTGGACCCAAATTCTTTATTTTCCTACAAAATAGCCTCCCTCACTTGGCTTCCCTTCTGACTGTAGTGCCATGTGTATTCAACAGCGTGTGTGTCCCCCATCCCAAATCGTTAGGGTCTGCTTTCAAGCCAGCCCCTGCTCTCTAATTGTTCCCAGTGAGCGTAGCCAGAATGAATTGTTCTCTGCACGCAGTGGCTTAGCAAGAAAGGGAAATGATTATATCTAGTTATCACTGCCCTGTTCCTCCCTTTCCTAACAATGATGTTGGGAACCCGTACTGGCAATACTTCTGAATCCACAAATCCTAGAGGGATCTATAAAATGGGGGAAAACTGCTACTTGAGAAATGTGATGTCATTACTGGTGTTTCTGCCTTGATTTGAACAGGGACTAGCAAAATAAATTGGTTACTCTGAGGCTATTCCGTATTTTAAGCATAAACTCCTCACTGAGAGTACTTGCTCCTTTAAGAATTAACTCTTCTTAAAAAAATATTACAAATTGCTGCGGACCAGTTTCTGTCAGAGGTAATTTCCATAAGTAAGGAAACATTTGCATGCAGAACATTTTAATGAATGCACGGTACCTGTTTAAGAGCTCTAACTTTCAAGAAATGTGTATGTGGGGAATAATGTAATCATTGTTTCCTCTTCCATAGGAAAGCATCCAGACAGTGGCTTATACAGCAAGGGACCATCATACTCTGGTTATTCTGGGTATATCATGATGCCAAATATGAATAACGACCCGTACATGCCTAATGGATCTCTGTCGCCACCCATCCCCAGAACAGTGAGTTATCTCTTCCAAAGACTGGTTTTTGGCGAGCTTTTCTTTGGTCTGCAGTGTGTATTTGCGCAGGGGCTTTTTTTGGGTAGCTTCAGTGACGGTGAAGGTTGTGGTTCTGCTGTTCAGAGCCTCCATTCAGTGGAGTTTAAGAGCTCTCAGAGGTGTTGGTCGCGATCGTAGTGGAAAAGCTGAGATTAACGTCTGCGGTGTCTGACGTCCTTTGAACAGGGCTGGGGGCTTTGGGAGGGGGGATGGCTGTAGGATAATGTATGGCAGAATGATGTAAATGCCGTCTTTGTAGTGACTGGGACAGATGTGAATTTTCTGGCTTTAACTCTTCATTTGTTGAAGAAAATCGTGGGCTGGAAGCAGAACTGCCAAAGTTGCTTGTCAGTAAGATGAAAAGATTGGATTCTTTCTTTTTTTGCCTTCAGATATGGCATTGCTCTTTGCTGGTTGATATTTATTTCTGCCATCAGTTGCTCTGTGTGAAGGATTTATGTATCTGGCAGTATTGCTTGAAACATACTCTGTATCTTGAGCCACAAATTGTGAAACGGTCGTTTAGAAATTAACATCAACCATGATGCAGTAGTTACCGCTTTCCTTTATGTTGTGGTGGGCACTGATTCTTCCAGGTTGATTGCTCTGTTTCCATTGGTGTAGATGCACATTTGATGGATTTTAATGTACTTTTAATTTTGCATAGTCAGTTCCCATTTATTTTTGTAAACCTCTTGGTATACATACAAAGCGATAGCAAGGCAATGTTAAAATGAGCTGTGGAAATTATATTAGTAGAACCAGAGTGGAGCGGGAAACAAATTTGCTTGTAGGCATGCTGCTGAAAAAATGCTGCTGCAGTTGTGTGTGCTGTGATATGGGAAGTTGGATACTGTTATTTTTCTGTGATAAAGCAGTTTTCAATTTTATTGGTTCTTAGATTTTTACTTGGCTCTCTCTGTCAAACAACTGGCATTATTTTGCTCTCTGACGTTCTTGATTTTTCTTCAGGGTTGTGGCTTTTGGCTTCAAAAACAAAAAGAAAGGGCCTAATCTGTATTGGTAATTTGACAGTAGCAAAGCATGTTAAATTAGTGGATGTTTGGATTCGGAATGACAGTGTGTTTTGGTACTGGGAAACACATGGATCTGCCCTTTTTATATGTCACCATTTGCGTTTGAAAGATGCAAAACCTCACATAATATATTGCTTTCTATAGCTCTATTTTTTTAAAGGACCTTGTTTGTATATAAATTACAGTTCAGAGGCCTACAGACATTTAGGATGAAGCATGATGGCCGTGGTCTGTAGGTATTTGTTGTTACAAACACTGCTCTACAGAAAACTTCAGTTCGGATGTATCAAGGGGAAATGGATGCAGCATCTTGAGAGGGCACAGAGACTCAAACCTACACGTTTCAGGACCAGGAAACTTTAGACCTTTTTTTACCCCCTCTTTCCCACTTTACCTTCCTAAGGCAGTCCCTAGTGCTGGTGCAAGGCTTTGAACAACAAAATCCAGTTTAATTATTCACTGAGGATTTTCTCTGCATACGCGTGCTGTGGGGCTGCCACTCTTTACTGATCTGGCATCGATGCTCCCAGAATGTCTGCTTCTTGTGGAGGCTGCCTGCTCAGGTGCTTGAGGAACCATCCTAGGGGGGTACGATGGAGGGGACGATGGAGCAGGGAAACATGTCTGCTTTCTAATTGTAAAGCTGCCTGCCAAACATCTGAGGGGCTAATTTAGTTCGACGTTGCTCTTGCATGTTAGTGCAGCACCACTGTTTCGGTAAAACAGTAATATTGCAGGGCTGCAATGTTGACATAAGCCTGGAGTTCCTTCAGTTTAACCACAAGGCTACGCGCTTGAGTTATTTAATAATTTTTTTGTTTAATTGTTAGTCTCCTAGCTGACAGCTGGGTTTCAATGCCTGCGAGATCAAAACACTGCATCCAGGAGATGACACGCTCGCTTCATGGTTAACCACAGCTCCAGCCCTGCATGGCCTGTCCACCTTTGCGGGGTCCCAACTGCCACCCCGCAGGTTTGCTCTTGCCTCCCTTTTCGGAAAGATGTGTCAGGGCCAGGAGGCAAGGAGCAGCCGAGATCAGCAAGCATTGGAGGTCTCCCCTGGGGTGTCAGTCCCAGGCCATTTGTGCAGAGCAGCCCTGCAATGTGTACCTGCGCCCCACCATTTGCATGACAAAGCCACTTCTTGTTGATGCATCTGTTGCCTGGAGGTGTTAGGCAGGATTAAAAAGCCGCCCTAGGGCGCTGAATCTTTTTTCCGCCTTGGAAGGACCCGGCTGCCTGAAAAGCCCCCGGGGGTGAAAGGCAGCCAGACCCAGGACAGGGACCATCTCTGACAGAGGCAGCCTTGTCTCTCTATACCAGCAGAGAGAGCAAAGCTTTCTTGGAATGGGAAAAAAGTTACGTTTACCAGTGTATGTAGGGGAAAAAAAGCCTTTCTAAAAACAAGGCAAACACTTTACATTCTTGCTCTGTAAAATTAAAAATACCAACCTGTAGTCAGGCACAACATGTCTAATAAGCCTTAAAAGAAGAAAACTGTAGTGTAATTTCAGTGGAGCTTTTGGAGGGGAGAGGGTGTATGAGAAGGATTTCAAATCTTCCAAAATCTGCTATTGTTAGGGAGATCTCATTTTCCCTTCTCATTTTTTTCTTCTCTTTAAAAAAAAAAATACTGGCAGCCGATTTGCCTTTTACAAGTTGGAGTTGTAGGAGCAGGAGAGTGTGGATCACAAGTTTGTGTACAACCCTGGCACCACAGTACACATTCTTGTCAGATGGCTGGATAAATGAAGAAAGCAAAGCAGTTGGTTTGGGTGGCTGCAGGAGAAATGGCACGTGATAGCACTAAAACCACAGTAACACCTGGTGAATGTGCTCAAGAGATGTTTTGGTGGTTTCTCAGCATCGTGAGAGTACTGAAGATGGGAGATGGAGACAGCTGTTTGTTTTCTAACACGTGTGGCTTTTTTCTTATGTTTTCGTTAACAAGACTAGTTTTGGGGTAGCAAACCTTTCCCATCTGTTTGATGGGAACGTGGGGACAAAGGAAATGACTGAAGAAGAATAATTCCTCTGTGTCTTAAATTAATCCAGAAAATAATTTTATCTTTACTCCTCCATCTTTCCCAATGAATGAAACATTCTGTAGGAAGATAGAACATTTCTGCAACCTCCCTTTTGTCTGTTCTTATCTGTTTGTGGAGTGTGAGTTCATTTCTTTGTGGCTAAACTGTCTCTTTGTAGCAGCTGGAAGTGTTAAGTAGGTTAGAGGATACAATCTATAAACACCTTATGTCAACTTGCAAAACACAGCATATCCTTTTGAAAATGATGAGGAATTCTGCTGAGAGAGTTTGAACATAAGGAACAATGTTTATAGGCAGGACCCCTTTACCCTGCCTAAGTTTTGGATATTCCTTGTGTGCTTCTAGAATGGCAAGGGGTATCAATATAGCTTCTGTCTTGAAGAACTGACATCCCAGGAAAAATTATGTGGATATTATGGATGGAAGGAAGGATGCAGGTAGAAATAGCAAGAATAAGTGGCTACAAAGCTTCAGTAAGAGGGTTTTATTTCCCTAGCTACATCTTGCTATCTCTCTGAAAACAGGCAGGTTCACTTGCTTGTGGGGAATTTTTGGGACGCCAAAGGGTATGTATGGGAGTGTTAGCGCTAGCATATCCAGCTGCAAAAGGACACGAACCTGATTTTTCATAATGTTGTTTTTTCCTGAGAGATAGTTTCTGCTGACTCTGCAATTGTACGCACTTGCTAGGAGCCGTGGTCAGCTGAAAGCTTCCCGGCCCAGTATGAAATGTGCTTTGTACCACTGATGTTGGGGCTCAGCTCCTGCTCCAGTGTCACCCATCGGAAAACTCTGCACTAATTCCCAAGTTGGCATTGGAGCAGGATGCTCTGAGGGCTGTAGGCAGCTCTGGTGTTGTCGCATGTCTCCTTCTTCCCCCTGCAACCCAGACAGAGCTGCTCACCCAGCACTCAGGCTCTGCCGCTTCACCCTGCACGGCACATGTCTTCTCAATGAAGTTAAATGATGCTGATTAGCTCCTTAAATAACTTAGAAATAGGAGGAACAAAAAGCTTCTCGACTCTGTGGAAGCAGAACTTACCCAGGTTTATTCAGGTTTGCATGGGAGACAAATTTTAGCACTGTTTGCTGAGGGGCTTGGCGAGTCACGCCAAATGCCAGCACTGAGGGAGAAGAGGAATCTGCTCAGCGCTCATAGAGGGACCTCGCTGCTTCAAGTGCATCTGTCAGCTGCTCTGACTTTTGCGTCACAGCTGATCAGACCCAGATATGAGCCAGGTCTCTGTGAAATACAAATCCAAGCCATGAATGGTCGTGGGCCAAGTTGTGGTGGTGCTTTCTGTTCTTCTCTGTAGTAAATGAACTCTGCATTTTGAAAAGGGGGCAGAAGTTACTGCGGTGCCTCTAGGGTTGGCATTTGTCTGAAGCTTGATCTGGTTGCTCATGATAAGATGGCATGATCCAGGCAGAGTCTTATGTACATAGGTCCATCATTAGCATGGTCTTTGGGCACATACTGGTGGAGAAAACAGCCTTTATGTTTGTGATGCCTTCTCCTTGTCAGAGTGATGCAATTAGCAAATCTAATTGTGAATGGGCAAGGGGGAAAGAAAATGTTCTCCTGATGTCTCAGTCCAGAAGCAGCAGTTTTGTGTGTGTGGCTTCAATGGAAGCATAATCAAAAACCCCACCCATTACAAATCATCAAAGTTGGAGCTTTTGTATATCGGTATGTGTGTATGTTGTGTCCTAAATCTCTTTTTCTATGTATCTAGGAGCTAGTTCTATATACACTGTAAATGGTGGAGCTGCTGCTTACATTTTAAGGTGGTTTAAAAGCAAAATGTCATTCCTGTTGTTTTGGTACTGTGCCACCTCTTCTCCAGCTTAATCCCAGCCCAGAAAAAATGTTAAT